AATGGTGGCCCAGCTTTTAGAGTGGCATGTGCTATTCTGGAAGGGTTCAAGGTGAGGTTGGATGGGTCTTTGAGCAACCCGATGTAGTGAAAGATGTCTCTGACTGTGGCAGGAAGGTTGGACTAGATGTTCTTTAAAGTCCTTTCCCAACACAAATCGTTCTGTAATTCTATGATATCTCACTCTGGACAGGTGGGAGCAGCAGTTCCTAATTCTACCTCTTCAGATACACACAAATGTGTCAGACAACATATTTGCATCCCATCAGATATAGGATATATGGTAGTGGCAGCTACTTGGAGCACCACAGACCAGTGAATTGGAGGAATAGTTTATTTGAAATCCTCTCCTAACACTGGATTATTCCTTCAGTAGTACGCTGATGCATTATACAGCACCTGATTTATTCTTGTATGTATTCTTTATGCCGTTCTTTCACTTCTAATCAAGGAAAGGTGAAGAAGCAGAATGAAACACACTGTAAAGAAACACATAGCACAGCAAGAACAAGGGCATAAGTTGATACTAATATTTTTAGAACAGGTATGTAAATTTGAAAATGTAGGAAAAGAGGATGTAGGCAAAGCTATAGAGGGAATAAAGATAAGGAGAAAGCTCCCTATTTTTGCTTAAATATGTGTTACAAATCCAAATATAAAAATAACAGATGCCAAAATCCTTGCTCTTAGGCATTTGCCACACTAAATCAAATGCTGGTATGCATTTCTGTGGATTCAAATATATCTATTATTTCTGACTCACCTAATCACTTTATTTTTTATGAGGAATAGGCTTTTTCACAGGAAATTTGCTCAAGAAAGAACTTGGGAACAGCTCTTTGAATAATAGCAAAAATATAAAATCTTATTTCTAAAATCCAAGTTACAAAACCTAGGAAAACAATGGTTTTTTTTAAATAATGTTGATAAAACTGGGTCTTAATGCTGAAATCCATACAAAGGAAGCAGATGCCTTACAAAGACCCATATTTAAGATTTTTTTCCATGTTAGATTGGATGTATTTTTTTCCTTTTCAAATAGCTCTGCAGAGACAATGGAGTTGGACAGAAAGAGAGAGATTAATTTTGTCCCAACAAACCTCCCCGTAAGCAGGAGGGTTTTGCCATCTCTTGATATTTTCAGGAGAATCTCAAAATAACTGATAGGTTGCTAATAGCCCAGATTTTGAAACTTGCATAAAAAGAGAAGGGAGGCTCAAAGAGAACAAAATGAATAAGAAAAATATTTGAAATGGAAAGCTGCCAAACTGCATTTGAACTAAACTGATAAAGTAACTGCAATTATTGATAATGAGGGGCATGCTGTGCTGAAGATGCTGCACCACTGGCCCACAGACATTACAGTTCATATTAATTTAGAAGACATGTTTCAGATGGCACATAATGAATAATCCTTCTGTGTATGAAGCTTTGTTAGGATCTGTTTGAAGCTGACTGAACAGCCTGGGGGACTTGTAGATTTACTAAACATTTCTGCTAGTATGGACAGATCTGTCAGGAGTATGTTCAAGGGTACTCCATAACTTTCAGAGCTGACCCAACAGAGGATTCTACTCAAGATGTAGTTGAGTAGGCAAAACCGTGCAAGTCTCAGTACAGTTGCTTCTATTATGGGAAGTTATTGCACAAAACATGCCTTTACTAGCATGACAGCATCCCTATAGAAGCATCTACCCATTACAATATGTCATAGGATTTCCTATGTCATCACGCAGGCCCAATTTAGGATTCAGCCTTTCCCCAGTGCTGGTGAATAATACTACATTAGCCTGATTGTTGGTAATGATGTTCTATCAATGCAAATCTGGAATAAGACAATGAAGAATCAGGTCCTGTATTTTACATAAATGCTAGTTTAAAGATAATGCTTGTTTAAGATAATGCTTCATTAAAATTATATAAAACATGTACTTTTCTTCTATGACATTGTAAACCTCAGGGAAAGCTTTTCTTTCCACTCTTCCATCTTTTCCCTCCAGCACACTGGTGACCCAGTGTTTTTGTTCTGTCAATACTTCAACAGTGTGCATGTTATTTAATTTTAAATACTGCCTAAAAAATGCAGTTAAGCATGCAAAAGGAATTTTAAATCCTGCCTAAAAATGCAGTTGTGTTACTCTGAAAGATCTGACTGAATTAAAAGAAATTATTTGCATAATAAGGTATTCTTATGATTAATAAAGATGAAAGTCACACTGAGAGTGAATCCTTGCAATTTTACGCTAAGTATTCTATGTTTCTGGTTGTGTACTGAAAAACATAAAGCACTCCCTTGAAACCTTCAAAGAAGCCTCCAATGAAATCTCCCATCTATTTGTGTCCTTTGTTAACTCCCAGCATGTGGTGTTTTAAAAGAGATAGCTAAGAACAATGGGCTAAGTAGTAGAGTTTTCCTTCAACAAGAAATCCACATCTTAAGCACAGCCATGAGGGAAACAGATCTACACTGTTTAAAATCCAACTAGAATAGCTTATTGAAGAGTTTTAACCATAAAATGCTTTAAGTGAAGAAAAAAAAAAGAGGCAGCTGGAAGATGTTAACTGAGTTTCTAATTGAAACAATGGTGTGTTTTATTTCATGTTGGGATTTCAACAGACTCTTAATTAGACATTTTACCATGCAGTTTTCATTTAAAAATATCTTGATGACATTCTGGTCATCAAGAAGATCCTGCGAGACTTAACACCTGTTACTCCTTGGAAGAACATTCATCCAAAAAGGCAGGCAGGCAAATATACTCCCCAACTCATAGAATAAATATTGTCAAAACACTAGAGTATTTAAAAGAATAACGAAAGAGGAAAAAAAAAAGTCTGGAAAATAATTTGTGCAGTCCAGACTTAGTGATGATAAGCAGATATCAATGCTCAAAACAAAAGGCAAAAACATAACGGTTGCTTGCTATGTTGTGGAATAGTAATAGAATATTTGCAATGTGAATGTAAGGACATGAAAATGTGAATGTCTAAAATTGTCTGAAAAAATTATGCTTACCTATTTTATGAAAATCAGGTTAGTTTTTGAAAACAGAATTTACAACACAATTTTTTATGTAGTAAGAAAACAGTTTACAATTCCAGATGTTATCATGCAGATTGAAACATACAGTCAGAATACATCACTTCATTTTTTGGAACACTGAATAAGGAATTCTCATAAACAGCATTGCTATTAGTCATCTTGACATAACTTCTTAGTGGCATGAAATTAGTAAATAGACAGTATTAAAACCTGGAGTGAATTAAAGAAAGAATTCCATGTTATACTGAAGATACCACCTTTAGATTGAATTTCAGAGAATAGAATAGAAATAGGAATAGAATAGAAATAGGAATAGAATAGAAATAGGAATAGAATAGAAATAGGAATAGAATAGAAATGAATAGAATGGAATGGAATGGAATGGAATGGAATGGAATGGAATGGAATGGAATGGAATAGAATAGAATAGAATAGAATAGAATAGAATAGAATAGAATAGAATAGAATAGAATAGAATAGAATAGAATAGAATAGAATAGAATAGAATAGAATAGAATAGAATAGAATAGAATAGAATAGAACAGAACAGCACAGCACAGTTGGAAAGGACCTACAATGATCACCTAGTCCAACTGCCTGACCACTTCAGGGCTGACCAAAAGTTAAAGCATATTACTAAGGGCATTGTTCAAATGCTTCTTAAACACTGTCAGGCATGGGACATTGACCACCTCTCTAGGAAGCTGGTTCCAGTGTTTGACCATCTTCTTGGTAAAGAAACATTTCCCAATATCAAGTCTGAACCTCCCCTGATGAATCTTTGAACCATTCCCAGGTGTCTTACTGCTGGATACCAAGGAGAAGAGATCAGCAGCTCCATTTCCCCTTCTCATAATGATCAAAATATACAGTTTAACTCCTGGGCTTTATTGATATGGACAGCATTAATTTTCAGTGCTGATTATTAAAGAAAAAAGCATAAAGATATAAAATAACATCATTAACAAAGCTGAGATGCATGGCTAAATTAAAAAGAGAAAGGGAAAATTAGTTTGCTAATCTGCAGTAATTTATTTTCCTTGATTTTGGGAGAGAAGAAAGCCCCCAAATTTCTTCTCTCTTATTAAGAAGCAAGTATTGTTCCCTGTGTTATGTATATACATAGAAATAAAACCATCAACTGCAATCTGGTCTGAGTTAGCTCCATCTTTTATGTGAAGAAGGTCCATGAAGTCAGATTTTGGGAATCTTCTATGGATCTAAGTGAGAGGGTCTTGAACTGTTATTGCCCCAGCAGTTTTCTGTCACATTTTAGCTGAAGTTTACTGTCCCAAAAGTGGAATTCTCATATGAACACTCCTAGGCTGTTTCTGTACAAAGTCAGTGGAGTCAGTTTAAAGCATCTTAAACCAAATTTGGATGACTTTACACTTATGTGAACAACTTACACAGACACTTTTAGCTTCACAGCTGTGTCAACAGAAACTGCAAGAAATAACTTCTCAACTTCTATAACTAGATGCAAAAGAAATGACCTGTATATGCCTTCAGTCCCTCTTGGAATGAGAAAAATTAAAAAGGATGTTAGACAGATTGTGGCAACATAGCCAGAAGCTTATTCTCAGGACAAATCAATGGGAATTCAAGTTAGAGTCACCGGAAAGAAAAAAAAAAAACAAAAACACCTAAGAATGAGGAGAGCTTAGATGTCTCTGTTCTCATTTTTGTCACCCTGAAAAGAAAGCAAGCCAGTACCAAACACCCAAACCTATAAGACTTTTGTGCTGTTTTTCTCACCACACATAAAATCATATGCCTTTTGAGCCAAATCTCTGCCAAAGTTCACTGAGTCCATGTTCTTTATGGTGTGGACTATTGTAGAAATATTGTGGCAGAAACTGTCATAGAAAATAAAACCTGCCTTACAAGCAGATTCAGCCCTGGGAGAGAGCTTGTTGCCCCCATAGCATCCTATTGTATCTGAAATTTACTCTTACCTAGAGCTGCCCTCTGAATGCGCCTCTGTGTTATCTTGCCTTTCAGATGGTCTGTAAAAGACACAAAATGAGAATAGTCAGAATTCAAAACGTCAAAAATCAAAGAATTCATTGCTTATTTACCACCATTTGAAAACTCCTGTGCTGCTGGGGATTGTTTTGTGATCCATAGGACAAATAGTTTTCCGAGCTCTTTCCTTCTCACTACCGCAAGTAAACAAGTAGGCACAATTTGGCTCTGCATATCCTAAGATTTAACTTTGTCGAGTAAGAAAGACTGTTGAGTAAGAAAGACTGTGAAGCACTTTCACAGGATAACGATCTCCTGTTGCTAGATACAAAAGAAGTCCAAATGAGGCTAGAAGACACACAGAATTCCAAGTACTCGTTCAAACAGACTTAGAGGCGCTAGCAGTGGAAATGAGATATTAGGTCATCCAGTCCACCTCTTTGGCAGTGAAGAACTGGTTCCCTACAGTCCATTTTTTCCTGTTCATCCAGCTCAGTTTTAAATATCCCGTGTGCTAGAGCTTCTGCAAGTTCTACTACTCAACAGAACTCACTATGTAGATGTCATTGGTCTTCAATCAAAATTTTTCTTTTATTTCATTATCTCATTATTCCTAGTTAGGCTCCCATGACCCATATAATTCACCTTTACCCTTCTGTTATTAATTTCCTCCTTGATCTATGACAGTGTTCCAGTTCACCAATTATTTCAACCCATAATTAGATTACCACATGGGAAGCCATTATTCATAGATATTAGTGGAACCAGTAAAGGAAAACCACAATCCTAAATGTGCAATTTCATCAGTATATGTGTTCTGAGGGAGGATGGGATTATGCCTTTCAAGTTTTCAAATGAAAATGATTTCTAAGCAGCAACTCATTGACAATCTTTACTAAAATGTACATCTGGATACCAGTGAAAGAAAAAAAAATCCATGCAGAAATCACTTTTTCCCCCAGACGTGTGATTGTGTATATTATATTAACATGCATTCTGAATTAAAAATATCCTTTTGCTTACAAGTGAAGATTTCTAGAGTAAGCTAATCAGAGCAAATTAAGTCATTAAAAGCTGCCAAATGTTTAAGTGAAGCATGTGGAAAACCATTTAAACTCACAGGTCATGAGCATTAGACTGTTCTATGATCACCAAAGAACCATGAGAAATTAAACTTATTTGGGAGTTATAAGAATAGTTCTTAAGTATTTAGTATCATTGTAGAAAAGGTATAATATGCAATACACTCTAGTATAACAGCCAAATTATGCTGTTTTGAATATTTTTAAACAACAAAACAAAACAAGACACCCTACCTACTCCTTGTTGATAAGATATTGCAGGTTCTTATTTTTCTGCATGGGAAGTTTTACTCTTTTCAATTATTTCTATTTAAACCAATGAATTCTTCTGTACTTAAAGTTATCTGTGAAATTAAGAAAAGCCTTCAGCTACAAAGAAACAAGTTAAGTGAAAGAACTAATTCACCTACCCCAGCTGTACCAAATAAATCCTTCGTCTGAGCTGTACTAACATTCAACCAAAAAAGTCATTCAGTCAAGCAAGCTACTGATTTCCGTAACTATAGACAAAGACCCCTTGATTAATAATTTTTAAAGCCCAGTTAAATGATCAACACTCATGCTACTTGTGCTTTGAAAGCTTTATAAAGCAACTCAGCTGATGTCAATACTCAGTGAAATGTGATTAAACATCCCATTTTTTCCCTCAAATTGCTTTTTACTATTCTAGATATTTAGATCCTTGTATTCTATTGTACTGTATCACACAGGGTGATGGTACTCACTCAGTATTGAGCCATGAGAGACTTATGAAACAATTTGTAGTAACCTTGAGATTCATCTTACTGTATTACCATTAATTTAGATGCCTCAGAAAGCCATCTATCCATTTATTTTCGTGTAAGGACTCAGAAAGTCCCTTTCTTAAGCACTGTGAGCTGCAAAAGCCAATGCTGCTGTCATCTGAAAAAATGGTTCTAGTAGTGAGAATATGATGTTCATCAAGAACCAATTGAAAATAAAGGTGACATACGAGTTCTCAATCCTGCTAATACATGGTTTTAGTAGCATTATTTCTCTTTCTTTAATCTTGCTAGAAACAGATCCTCAACAGTCTAAATGTTTTGCATTTCAAGTGGCAATGAGGTCAACTGAAGAAAGGCAAGCCAAATGAGTCAATGAAAGTAAGATTGAACAGAGAGATAACAGCTTGCAATCAATACAAATATGTGGAAACACAAGAACATGGGGACTAGTTTTTAAATTATTATAGCCAAGGGGCTTGACTTTCAATTACCTAGAATTTACTCTCAGTACAGCTGGAATAGAGAGCACAGAGGCTGCATAAGCCCTACTTTTATTGCAAGCTTTGTTAGGCCAGCCAGCATTGTGGAACTGTCCCAAATATTCCTCTCTCCCTTCGTTCTAGCCTTTGTACACTTTTGCTTCATCCATTACACAGACCATGATGTTGTAAGAAATCTCATCCTTCTTCTATTTGGCAGCTTTATGAAAGAATAAGAAGTTGGAACCAACCAGCTGTAATCAGAGAGAAACCAAAAAGCCCTTCTTTGGCTAGAAAAATGAAAATCCAGTCTTACCATTTTAAAGAAAAAGAGTTTTCTTCTATGAATAGAAATAGAAAGGTGACATTTATCCAATTCATATAGTCCAAACTGCCTTTCCAGGGCAGCAAAAACTGAACCTCATTTTGCAGAAAACTTCCTGAGGAGAAACTGTAATTGTATTACAGGAAAAGTAGCTCAAACAGGAATTCTGGTCCAGAGGACATGGTGGAATCACGAGGCACCTGACTATAAGTCCATACAAAGACTTAGCCAGATATGATTTAATCTTTCAATTTGTTTTAATCCAATTTGAAATTTGACAGTTTATTTAGATTTCCTTTGGAAAAAAACCCTGGTTTTCATGTAGAAACTCTGATTTTTGACAAAACCTTAACATTTTCTGTGCGTGTTTTTGATTAAAGTAATCTTGTTCTGTTTTCACTACAAATACTTGTGGGGGAGAATGAATGTTTCTGACCTGCTCTACTTTTCCGCCTCTGTGAACACCATCACCCCAATGCAAGGCTTGAAGTTCATAAGTGACAGAAGTAGAGGATGTTTCCAGTACTGTTGCCTGCACAGACCTTCCCATATAAACAAATGGAAGAATTAAGTCTTTAGTACTGCCAGTTCTACAACCTTCATAAACACAAATATTTACCCAAAGAAATATGAAGAATCAGATTCTCATAAAAACCCCTCGTGTCTTCTGATCCCAACAGTGTAAAGTTGTGGACAAGGTAGTGCTTAAATGTGGTTTGCAAAAGTTGAGTTTAAGACTTGGAGAACATCTTTCAACATATGGCTAATTATGTTTTCTGAAGCTTCACCAAAGAAGCTAAAAATAGGTCTGCATTTGATACCAAATAATTTTTTCCATGGAGTCATTCTTCATTTGGAGATAACAGTCTCAATAAAATGTTGAATGCTGTAACTCCACATGCTTTGGCAAAAAAGTAGTTTTGGGGAATTTAAGAATTCACTCAGCATGCAGCCAGCTGTCATTAAGGCTGTGATAAATCTGTTGGTTTTGGCCTGTGTTTCTGGACACATGTACCATCTTTAGGTATGGAAAAGAGATGAGCTGGTAACACAGAACTTCAGCCTTGTGACAGCAGACAAAAGCAAGGAGGGAAATGGAGAAGACAAATTGGAATAGAGAAGACTAATTAAGACTGATGTAAAGCAGAGGAAAGTATCCTGTATGCTGACTAAATATGACAGAATCCATAACTTGAGTAGTATGGCTGTCCTTCAACTTCCTGTCTTTGTGTTCTTCTAGACTGTTTCAAGGAGCTGAAATTATCTTCCAATTTATTACAGACAATGAATGCTTTGACAATACCACATATGCTTCAGGGCAGTACAGTTACAATGACTGTTACAATTAAAAAAAAATATTGATTTAAAAAAGTGTTTTGGTTTTGTTTGAGTCCATATTACAGGTTTTAAAGCTTCTTACATTTTATCAGACCTTTCATACTTACTATTACAAGGTTTCAAAGACTGCTAACTTAAAGGATGAAAATATTGGACAAGCTAAGAGTACACATACAATCTTAACTCCTTCCCGTTGAGAATATTTGTTGTTATTGATGTGGATAGACCTTTAACTTGATGCAGGGTCTCTTCTGACTTACTAATTGACTGGAGCCTTCATCAATAACCTCTCATCTCTTGTTATCTTTTAATACTTTTCTATTATTTTGCATTTTCCAAGCCTGTGTTTAGCTTAAGAAGACCTTCCATCCAGGAGATCCTGAAACCTTCACACCTCAGCTAGGATGTTGTATCTCTTTCTTTCTTCATCTTTAAAATATTTTCAGTGTTACTTAAAATATCTAGCAAAACATCCTCTTCTGCATTCAGGGAACCTCCAGTTCCTGGAACTCACTCTCCAGGGCATTTTGGGTTCCTAATAATGTTATATGGTCTAAGTTTTAGATCATTTTTTTTTCTGTTTGCACAAGAAGTTGCAATGGGACACAGCTGGGGCAGTTAATTCTAACTGACCAAAGGGATACTCCATACCATATAATATCATGCTTAGCAAAAAAAAAGCTGGTGGGAACAAGAAGGAGAAGGGGACATTCAGAGTGATGGCATTTGTCTTCCCAAGTCACCATTAGGAGTGATGGGACTCTGCTTTCCTGGGGATGGCTGAACAGCTGGCTGTTGATGGGAAGGGGTGAAGCAATTCCTTGTTTTACTTTGCTTGCACACGCAGCTTTTGCTTTACCTATTAAAGTGTCTTTATCTCAACCCACTAGTTTTCTCACTTTTATCCTTCTGATTCTGTCCCCAATCCCACTAGGGGAGAGTGAGCGAGTGGCTGGGTGGTTGCCAGCCAGGGTTAAACCATGACAGGAAATAAGCAGGATTGTTGTTTGTAATGCAGTGTCCCTACATATGCATTTGGACTCAGCTATCACCCAACTATGAAGACCTACT